AGAATTTTTGATCCGATTCGAACGCGAGATTAACTTATGCAAAAGTAAAAATAAAAAAGATAAAAAATATTTATCTATATGTCAAATAGTATATATCTCCGACACAAATAAATATTTTTTTTTATTTCACAAAGCTTAATTTACATGACACTTATATTAAATGTAGAGAATTTTTAAAAAATACCACATTTAAGATACCACTTTTATAAAAGAGAAATTAGACTCTATATTACTCATTGACTCCATATTTAATTATCTAACATCAAATAAAATAAAATTTAGTAACTAATATTTCAATTACCTGAAATTCCAATTTTACGCTTAATGTAGTTATGGTAAGTAACCTCATATCTCATTTTCATTATTATCTCATTTAATTCATTTTTTTAATATCAATTTTCTTCTCTCATATCCAAAATTGATTAAATATAAATAATATTTTTATTTTTTTGCATTATAGAAAAAACAAAAACCAACATCATAAAGGTATAGACTTGTTAACAAAAAAAAACATATAGACTTTTATTTCTATTAATTATCTAATTATATATTTATATACGCAGTTAACTATGTATCGAAATATACTTATCTAGACTTTTTATTTTTATTAACTATATAGTTAACTATATACCCAAATATATACTTAATTTTTGATCTTTAATTTTTTTCACAAACAATCAACTATACTTGTTATATTTACGAATAGTTCACTATTATCTTTTTTTTTTGTGTTTGTAAATGAGTATATAGTTAGATATATATATATATCTAACTATTTTTAAATATAATTACTTATATAAATTTATGTATAGTTAACTATATAACCACATATATTTATAGAGTTAATTATATTCACAAATAGTCAAACTATACTAGTTATATTAAGAAATTATTCACTATTATCTAGATAGTCAGAAATATTAATAACTATATTTAAATATAATTAGTTATATATTCACGTATAGTTAGTTATATATAAACATATAGTTGTCTATATAGTTAACTTTATTCACAACCAATCAACTATATTTATTATATCCACAAATAATTCATTATTCTATATATAGTTAAATATATTTACAAATAGTTTACTATTATGCATTTTCGATGTATGAAACTTATAATTCATTATATCAAATAAGTAGTTAATTATATTAAAATAAAGTTCATTATTTGAATAGAGAAATAGTTCACTATTTGGATAGAGAAATAGTTCACTATTTATTTCAATGATATCTAACTTGTGATATAGTTCACTATATAATTTATATATTTAAATTTTAAACAATTATCAGTTACAAAAAAAGAAAAACGAAAAATATAGAAAAAAAAGATGAAAAAGAAATGTGTTTTTATATATGTCAACTTTAAGTTTATTTTTAGAAAAACACTATTATTATTTTTTAATTAAAAGAGAAATTTGTATTAAATGTGCATTAAAATGACAACCTTAATTGAATTTATTGCAAAGGGTAAATTAGTCAAAATTAAATTTTCTTTACTAGTTACTAAATTAACAAATTACAGATGTTAGTTTATTAATTTATATGTTCTAACATGTTATTGAACTAATTAACCCATTACAAAAAGGCCATCATTTAAAAACGTTTTCAAAAATGTCACTAATCCTCTATATATTAATTGAGTAGATATTTGGTGAAAAAATCATATATATCATTCAATAAAGATTTTAAGAAACATGTCATTTAAATTAATCAATGAAAACATTTCAATTCAAATAATATGTTATGGTAGAAATTTCTACATTTTTTAATAATTTTATAATATAAACCCTATAATATACATTTTATAGATTTAAGTTTAACTAAATGTAATATTTAGACTTACCA